TCCAAATTTGAAAATGCATAATCCTTTTTTTTAAATTTATATTTTGAGCCAAATCATGCTAAACTTTGTGAGATGACCAAAGATGTTATATTATGATAACATGGCCTATGATATTTTTAAAAAGTAGTATGATTACAATTTTAATAACATGTGAGTTTCTTTAGTGGCTTTCCAATGCACATAGAAAAAAATCCAAACTTCACATCAAGGCCTGCCAAGCGTTGTGTGATCTGACTCCAGACTTCTTCATCACTAGGCTCCAACCACACAGGCCGCGTCTGAATACAGCTAGCCCTTTCCTGCCTCAGGGCCTTTGCATTCACACTTCTCTCAGTCTAACATGCTCTTTTCTGGGCTCTTTCTGTGGCTTTCTACTTCATTCTCCAACCTCAGCTTAAATGTCACTGTCTTCTTGATGTCTTTTCTCAAAAAGCCATCTATAGCAGTCTTTCACTCCCACCCCACATTACTTCATAGCACTTACTATAATCTATAGTTATTTTATTTGCATATTTAAATCTCTACCATTGGAATGTTAAGATCCCTGAGAACAGGAACTTGAACTCTCTTCATGGATATATCTCCAGGACCTAGAATAGTGTGTGGCATACTATTAGTATACAATTAATATCCGCTAAAACAAAATATGTTGAGTGAGCAAATACTGAATACACTTCAAACATAGTGTCCAGAACTTGAGAGCATTTGGACAAATGACATGTCTTTCAAATAGTCCCTTATAATTGAATAAACATGGTAAATTACTCTAAAAGAAATACTATTTTTATATGTTTTTGATTCCATTAACATCTATCTGTAGTCCTATTTGCTTCTTTTGTAAGTCAGAGATGTTTACTATGTTTGACTCACTAAAGCTACTTGCATCGCTATGATATGTCATCTATGAAGTGTTGCTACTTAGGCCATAATGGTATGTGCTCCTCATCTGACAATCTTTTCAAGTCACTACATCAACATGTATTGGTTATTATATCAACATTTATTAGTGTTACCTTGTCATTACTGAAAAATATACCTCCGTTCAATGCTTTAAAATATGTAAAAAGTTTTTTATTGATGCCACTTTATTTTTCTTAAAGATTTATTTATTTATTCATGAGAGACACAGAGAGAGAGGCAGAGACACAGGCAAAGGGAGAAGCAGGCTCCTCGCAGGGAGCCAATGCAAGACTGGATCCCGGATCCCAGGATAACCACCGGAGCCAAAGGCAGGTGCTCAACTGCTGAGCCACCCAGGCGTCCCATCTTTTTTTTTAAGATTTTATTTATTTATTTATTCATGAGAGACACAGAAAGAGAGAGAGAGTGAAAGAGAGAGAGAGAGAGTGAGGCAGAGACCCAGGCAGAGGGAGAAGCAGGCTCCATGCAAGAAGCCCGATGTGGGACTCGATCTCAGATCCTGGGATCATGTCCCAAGCCGAAGGCAGATACTCAACCACTGGGTCAACCAGGCATCCCGATGTCACTTTATTTGATCTTTACAACTACCTCTACCCTGTAAGATATCCTATGGCCATTTTACTGCTGAGGTTACTGGAACTCAGTAAAGATTAAGTTGTGCTTAAAATAATACAACTGGTAAAACATAGAGCTAGTAAGTGAACTCAACTCTTCCAAGTTCGAATCCTTGGCTTTTTCAGCCACACCACAGCTACTCTAACACTATATTTGATAAAACTTGATAGTTTACAAAGTACTTCCACATAAGCTCATTTAATCCTCTGTGGTTGACAAGGCTAGTAAAATTCCTTCCCTGAAGAACTTATATAGTCTCTTTAAAAAAATTATATGCCTGCAAAACTGAAGACATTGTTATGGAATAATATAAAGACATGGAAATTATTATGGAAATGCATACAGATGTCAAGGATATTGTAAATTGTATATAGGTGAGTGGTAACAGGATTTGGAGGGAAAGGAAGAAATCAGATTCATAGTGTGAGAAAACAAGAGGGGTTTGTGCCTCCCATACCGAGGCAATGAGCTATGTATGCAAAGATGTGCATGTAGACATGGTGCTGTGTGGACAACGTGGAAAGCAAATTAGCTTGATGAAAATAAGAATAAGAAAAAAAATAAGAAAAAATAAGAAACCGTGAAAGCTGAGGACGCTAAGAGGAGCAGTATTCCTAGTCGTTAAAAGGCGTTAGATGTCAAGGAGAACTTGGATTTTATTTGGCAGATATTAAGAAGCTGGCAAATGCTCGTACAAATAAAATATTAGAGGTGAAAACAAAGCTTGATGGCTCTTCTGGCAGCTCTGTGTAGAATGAATTGCAGCAGAGGAAACTGACCCAAGGCCCCACAGTGATCCTGGCGTGGGGTGACAGAGTCAGAGACTGCAGTGGTGACTGAGGAAATGGAAGAAAAGTGGACTTTGTGGAGAAAGGCTAATCAGGACTGAACGATGGATTAGAGAAGCGGAGAAGGAGAGGAAAGAGTGAGCGCCACTATGCGGTTTCCAGCCTGCTGAGCTGGGCTGATGGTGGTGCAATAAACACATTATTTCTGAAGGGAAGCCTTTTGGCAGAGGCCAAGAGTAGTAGGCAAGGGAGGATAAAGAATGGATGAGCTAACTTTGTGAAACGCAAAGTTGAAGGTGGTGTAGAGATGTTTAACTGAAGGTCTGTCGGCAACCCGAGAAACAAGTCTGGAAAGAAGGTGAGAAGTCAGGATTGTGTTGTGTCATTTTTGCTAACCCCTGGCCCTTTCCCAAACTGCACACTGGCTGCCTACTCATATAGCCTCAAGGGCTCTTTTCTTGGCAACTCACTATTGAGAAGAGTTCACATTTATAGATTGGAATATTTATTTGTGAACTTTCTCCATGATATCAAAAGGAAAGGAAAGGACTTTAAAAATGAATTAAGACTTTTTACCCTGAGATGATTATTTAGAAGTCACTTTGGTTTTTAAAATTTAATATTCATTACTTTCAAATTCAAAATTTGGGCTTAAGCCTTTACATTAAACATAACCATTTATTATTCAATTTATAAAGCCAGTAAATTGATGTCTGCTTCACTTGGTTAAGCATTTTCAACTGCATTTATTAATTTAATAAGTTGAATATTTTTTCCAAACACATCAATTTTCAGATAAACAAAGCCTCCCAAATTCTTAGGTAATTCTCATAAAACTAATAAACACAAAGCGGTAAGTGGTAAGTCTTCTTAGAAGTTCCAGTATAGTGTATAAACTTCAAAAGGATTTTTAACTTAAAATCAAAAGTCTTCGTAATTAGTCAGTTACACACTTTAAATCAGCATTGCAAAGTTAATTTTCAGACACTTTATTAAACATTAAAAAGTATTTCTGTTAAATACTATTAAATATGAAGAGTATTTAAAACATGAAACATTAGGGGCATTTGAAATACCAAATATGTAGATTCTTTAAATACAAAAATATGGGACGCCTGGGTGGCTCAGTGGTTGAGCATCTGCCTTCGGCTCGGGGCATCATCCGGGGTCCTGGGATTGAGTCCACATTGGGCTTCTGGCGGGGAGCCTGCTTCTCCCTCTGCTGATGTCTCTGCCTCTCACCCTGTGTCTCTCATGGGTAGATAAATAAAATCTTAAAAAAAAAAAAAAAGGCAAAACAAAAGTATAACACCATGAGGTTTGATTTCCTTCATTCTATCTCTATTTAATTCTAAATCTTCCCAGGACTGAGAGATATGTATTCACTAAGAAAACAATTATGTCATCCCAAGCAAATCTAGGAACACCTTCCCAAGAAATGTCTGGGTTTGCCTTCTTAGCTAGGGGGTTTCTGTATGATCAGAGTGTCTCTTGGCCTCTGGGTCTTCAATTCTTGCCTTTTCTCTAGTGGTGCTCAAAAGGCAGGGTTCGACTTTGTCTCTGGGATGGTAGCCAGCCAGATTTCCAGTTCTATGCTTTCTTCTTGCCACCTGCCTAAAAGCTGGTGGCTTCCCTCTCTCAAGATTCCTGTGTACTCAGGGAGCCTCTGGAGGCCCTAATCTCCTGCCTATAGGCCTGGACCAGACTGGGTCTCCTTGATAGCCCACTGCAGTCCGAACCTCTTTGATCCTTCATCATCCTGCAGTGGGAAGAAAAAAATACATAGTTAAGATTAAAAGCAGTCAACAAAACATCTTCTAGGAGAAAAAACAAACAAACATGTCTAGCTAAAGAACTAGACCTAGCACAGCACTTTCTCAGGCCGCTTTGTTTGTCAAAAGGTAGTCCTGAGGGGATGGCAAGAATGAGTTGGGAGTCAAATGGCTTGACGTGGCTGATGAAGAACTTTTGAGTTCCAGAGAGCAGCCTGAGAGGGAAGAGGAGAAAAATCAGAGCAAATGGGGAGAGAGGAGCTGAGCTCAAGGGTAAGGACAAGGTGGGTGGGTGGACCCTGTGCGGAGGGGCCTGTGAAAACTTCCTGTTGTTGGGAATGGCGCCTGGATCAGTGGAACAGGGAGATGGGATGTTCGGGGGAGTTCGTCCTGCAGTGTTCCCCTCTCTATCAGCACCATCATGCTGTCCTAGGAAAATGGACCTGAGCTGTGGTTTAGGTCCTACCTGAGGTGGGAGAGACCGAGGGAGGGAAGAGTTGGGCGCCAGGCACAACTGCCCAGGAATTGAGCCGTTCAAAGCGAGTGAGGTGTTGACTGGAACCGAGAGGAGGCAACAGGTTCAAGAGACTCGGGGCATCAGGGCCAGTCGGAGTGGGAGCCAAGTGGAGGGAGGGCGCGACCTTCACAGGAGGAACGAGGTCAGACAGCTGGGGAGGCGCCGGGCAGGAGGGAGTGAAGGGGGTGGAGAGAATGAGACGCTGGAGCTTCCTTCAGGGTGAGTACCGCCGCCGGGGGCGGAGGCGGGGGCGGAGGCGGAGGCGGTGGGCGAGGGCGGTGTGAACGCTTCCGACGGCCTGAGCCTCCGGGGGAAAGAGCAGACTGTCCCACAGGACTTCGCTCGGCAGAAGAGCGGGACGGGCGAGGGAGAGGGAACCTCTGGGCAGAACGGAGAGAATTGCTTGAAAGAGACAGGAGATCTTGGCCATTGCTAAGCCGCAGAGACCTGAGAATAAATGAAATGGTCCTGGCGCACCTGATCCGGCGTGTGCGGTCCAGTTCAGCCCCCGGCCACGTGGCAAGCACCCTCGGTGTGCTAGACCCGCAGCACACGGACCGCCCGAGGCTGTCCCAGGTATAAAGCTACTTCCTAAAGTTTGGGAACCCACCCGGGAACCGAGCGGATGGGGTGGGGAGTGGCTGCTGGCGAGAGGGCCGCAGGGCCATATTCTCAAATTCTTTTTTTTTTTTTTTAAGTCCCAGCTCCTCCGCGAGGGCTCTGGGGCTCAGAACCGAGGATGGACTCAGCTCCTTCTTTTTTTTTTTATTTTTTTATTTTTTTATTTTTATTTATTTATGATAGTCGAGAGAGAGAGAGAGAGAGAGAGAGAGAGGCAGAGACACAGGCAGAGGGAGAAGCAGGCTCCATGCACCGGGAGCCCGACGTGGGATTTGATCCCGGGTCTCCAGGATCGCGCCCTGGGTCAAAGGCAGGCGCCAAACCGCTGCGCCACCCAGGGATCCCATATTCTCAAATTCTGAGGGCTTGTCCCGCCCCTTGAATTTGATTTAGCAGGTCAGGGCCGGGCCTGAGAATCCCCATTTCTGAGGAGCTCCAGGAGCTGTTGCTGCTGCTGGTTCCGGGACTGCAGCGAGAACTGCCTGAGGCGATGCTGTGGGGCTGGGAGTGAGCCCATGGGAGAGCCCGGGCTCCCCTCCGCCTTCCTGCTCCATGAGTCTCCAGGTCTGACCGCGGGGCTTCCGTCAGTTGCTCTCTGGCCTTCTCACCATAACGTTAACCACCCCTTGCAGCTTCTGACTCTTAAGGCAGGGTCTGAAAGGCTGCTGCTTCTGAAGGGAGGTAGAGGAGGGGAGCCCTCTTCCACCTGTTCCCAGTCTCCCCGTCCCCTCAGCCTGCCTCCTGTGCCAGGCCCTGGGTCCCTGCTTCTCATAATAACAGAAAAAGGTTCCTAGTTTCTACTTGGCTGCTACAGAGAGGCCTCCCTCAAGTACCTGGAGATAGGGTCGAGTTCTGAAACTCTGAAATCCACCCTTAAAGGATCAACTCGGAAGCTGAAAGGATGGCCTTTGCTAACAGACCTCTTCAGTAACTTCATTAAAAGATTAATGAGAGAGAGAACACCCAGACCTGGAGGCAGTGGGGTTTGGTCAGTCAGAAAAGTCAAAAGGGAGTTACAGGAGCTAGCTGGGACAGAGAGTATCCCGGCTTTGGCCAGGGGCACATCAAGGAACAGACTTCTAAAAGTATGGTTTCATTGGCAAGCCCATTCCTGATGTGGCGATAGAGGCATCACATTTTTTTAGCCCAATTTTATAAGTTGCTTGATTCATCTACCTGTCGTTGTTCTGACTCTCATTTACCTCCTGGGGTAGTCTCTGCAGGGAAAGAAGACACTGGGTCTCTCACACTCTGGGAAAACAGTCCTTAGGAAAGTTCTAGTTCTTACTGTAGGTAATCTGTGGATATTTTGACTTTATACGTGTAAATTGCCCTGGGTAACATTGACATTTTCACAATATTAATTCTGCCAATCCATGAGCATGGAATATTTTTCCATCTCTTTGTGTCTTCCTCAATTTCTTTCAGAAGTGTTCTATAGTTTTTAGGGTATATTTTGAGAACCATTTGAATGGTAAATGGTTCTCCAACCTTTTATTTTCAGGTTGTAGGTGTCCTTCTGTCTAAAATGAGTCTCTTGTAGACAGCAAATAGATGGGTCCTGCTTTTTTATCCAGTCTGAAACCCTGCGCCTTTTGATGGGGTCATTAAGCCCATTCACGTTCAGAGTTACTATTGACAGATATGAGTTTAGTGTCATCATGATATCTATTTAGTCCTTGTTTTTGTGGATTGTTCCACTGAACTTCTTCTTAAAGGGGAGTTTTAAGAGTCCCCCTTAAAATTTCTTGCAGAGCTGGTTTGGAGGTCACATATTCTTTCAGTTCCTGCCTGTCTTGGAAGCTCTTTATCTCTCCTTCCATTTTGAATGAGAGCCTTGCTGGATAAAGTATTCTTGGTTGCATGTTCTTCTCATTTAGGACCCTGAATATATCCTGCCAGCCCTTTCTGGCCTGCCAGGTCTCTGTGGAGAGGTCTGCTGTTACCCTAATATTCCTCCCCATGAAAGTCAGGGACTTCTTGTCTCTTGCTGCTTTAAGGATCTTCTCTTTATCTTTGGAATTTGCAAGCTTCACTATTAAATGTCGAGGTGTTGAACGGTTTTTATTGATTTTAGGGGGGGAATCTCTCTATTTCCTGGATCTGAATGCCTGTTTCCCTTCCCAGATTGGGAAAGTTTTCAGCTAGGATTTGTTCAAATACATATTCTGGCCTTTATACATTTTTCAGGAAGTCCATTTGAGTCAGCCGCTAAGAGATGGCTCTGTTCTCAACATGCTGATGAAATAAGGTTTCTGAATCTGCCGGGTTGAATACTCCTACCAGAGCCCAGACTGGGACATTCACTCAGGAGACTGCCTAGTCTTCCCTACTATTTCCCAGGACATGTGGTAACAGGGTATGATGATAGGGAGCTGCAACCCACCTGAGGGTCTAGAGGAGGGTACTCGGAGATGATAACATATGAGTTGTATCTTAAAAGGCTGAGTAAAGGTTTGTAGATAAACAGAGATGGGCAAAGCATTCCCAGTGTGATCCAGGGAACAGAGAAGAGAATTAGCGATGGTGAGTTGTGGGAATAACAAATTTAAGTTGAAGAATGGGTGGAGAAATAGGTAGGGGTTAAATCAAGGAGAGTCTTGAATCTCACAGGTTAAAAAAAAAATGGGGGGGGTCATTTGAGTTCTTTAAGCAAGAGAATGACAGGGCAAATTTGGTTTTACCACTCCAGCTCTAGGGTTCAGTATGATTTCAAGGAGTGAATCCAGAGGCTGTTAGGAGGTTATAGTCCAAAAGAAAAGATAGCTACAAATTATTATAGTGCAGAAGAAACATTTCAGAAGCAAATACCAGCAGGATTTCATGTTTGGACACATAGTATCAAAGGAAGCTTCGATTAGGGACATAGAAGGTGAGGAGGGACACCCAGATTCTGGTTTGGGTGTCCAAGTAGATGGCAGTGCCATGAATTCACATATGAAACTGAGGGGAGAGCATCCCGGGGTTTGTTTTATAGACTCTAAGGGATATGGAATTAAGTAGAATGAAAGTAATAACGCTAGTTTTGAAAGTGCTAATTTTGAGGTATGTGTGAGATTTCCCAGTGGAGATGTTCAGCATTTGGTTTTATATAGTTTCTAGGTTCTCAAGAGGAAAAGTCAGTGCTAGACTTAAAGATTCGTAAGTTCTCCACATAGATGTGGTAAAGTCTGAGACTGAATGAGCTTGCCCAGGCAAGACAGAGGACAGTGGTCCAAGGAAAAATTTCTAGGCAGCAACTTTTAGTGGGTAGGTAGGCAAAACCCATGAGGTGGACCTAAAGTCCCACCATCAGAAAAGAGAAGCGGAATGGAAAGGCTTCAAGAGCCAAGGGAGCAGTTTCAAGGAGGGGGGCAACTCCCAAAAGAGATCCAGGAAATAAAGACTTGAAAATATCCATAGGATTCTGCACAAAGGTAGTCTTCGGCAGCCCTGGGAATGATGGTCCATGGGGTGTGGCAGGAGTGAATAAATGGGGAAGAAGAGAAGACAGAGTCTGGATCATTCTTTCACATGGCTTGCAGAGCTTCTCCATCCTGAGATGCTGGTGTAGACCACAGTCATTTCAGGGGGCCACTTTTTCTTTCTGCCTCCCCTCTTGCCTGGGAGTAACATGATTGAAAGCAAAAGCCCTAAAGTAGACAGGAGAACCTCCAAAACTGATACGGGTAGAGGATTCAGGGGTGTTCCTTTCCCCAATGTCACTCCACTTGCCCTACTGCTAACCCTTTGCATCTTTTTGCTTCCCTCCGTTTGTGGATGATAGATTCCAGTCTCTCATTTCAGCAGAGATCCCTTCCCATGGCGGAAGCAACAACCCAGGGGGCGCCACAGAAATGATGATAGCTTTCATTGATGCAACCTAGCTGGGGAACAGGAGTGAGACCATGTGTTAACCCTCTGAATCTGTGTGCTTTCCTGAGCCCCTTCCCCTTTAGTTAGTGGCTCTGTTCTGATTTCCTCATACTTGGTCTAGCCCCCCAATATTATTAAATATGAGATTCCTCAATACTCCCAGGGGCCCAGGCTTGTTCCTGATGCACCCCCACTGGACAATGGGGGGCTTTCTGGACAACAGACTGAGCATGTGACTTCAGACTTCTCTCAAGTACAGTCCTTTGACTTCAGAGTGAAGGGAAGCCCCAAGATGTCCTTCCCTCCTCAATCAAATTTGAACTCAATTAAAATATGTCCAATTCTTCTAAAGGAAGGCTCGTCTTTCATCCAGAATCTCCCCGGGCTCTTAAAAGCAGGGAAGAATGAATAAGAAGTGGGCCCCTTCCCTTCATAGCTCCCCACGCTGCACCAGGTCTCAGCCGGGATCCAGAGTCTTCCCCATTTACCACCACCCCAGAAGGAAAAGGGAGTTCTACTTAGCCTCTAGCCTTGAGCAGATTCTGCAAGTTCTGTCCCAGCCCACAGGGTGTGACCTCTTACCCAGGCTCTTTAAGCTTGTTAGAAGAGAAGACAAAAGAGCAGGAGGTGGTAGAGAACACTAGATTTACTGGTGGACCTTTTGTTTGTTGTATGAAAGATTTGAACAAACCCGAAAGCAAAGGGCCAATGGACTAGAGAGACTCAAGACACAGGGGAGAAAAAGTTAATGACAGAAGTAGGTCCTGGAGGAGAGAAGGGATGGGATCACTCACAGAGGGGCTGGCTCCAAACAGGAAGAGTAGACTCATTCTTGAAGAAACCAGCAATGCTGATGTAACAGAGAATCTGATGGGCCCAAGCACATCTGAATTTTAAATGGATCCTCAGTTCTTTAAGAAACTAGGGAATGTCTACATGGTGAGAGCCACTCATACATACTACATTTAACCCTTACAACAACCCTATGAGGTAGATATTGTTCTGATTTTACATTGGAGGAAGGAGCCTCAGAGAAGTCAAGCAACATGTCCTAGGATACACAGTTTACAAGCAGACCTGGGCTCTGAATCCAGGCCTGT